TCTAAGGCTTGGAGATGTCATGTCCCTCATCCAATTTCTCATGGCCAGTAAATGACAAAGCCCAGGCCCAGATTCAAAGTGTGTAGAAATACCCAGGAATTTTAAACAGTGCTGGCAAATCCGTGTTGGAACTCTTCTATAAATAGTTCCCTGATTATTTCTAATTCCCATTAACTTGGTATAATGCAGGCTATTCAGCAATGTGATACGGATAGATGTTTCCTTTTCAAAACATTGCACAAATACATGATTTCCTCCCTCATTCCACCCTGTGGAAGAAGTAGGAAAAGAGAAAGGTAATAGGAATTTACCTCCAAGCTATAAAGACTTCCTATCCTTTTAGTAATCACCAGAGGAGAGTTCACAGTTACCAAGGAGACCATAACAGACTCCATTAGACTCAAGTACAACATTTTGGTTGCCTGGCTAGTGAACGTCAGAGAAGTCAAGGAAAATATTATCATTGTTGAAATCATTTGATGTCTATGACTAATAAAGAACATGTTGGCAAATTTGAATTTTTTGAAATGCCCAAAGGGCTTGATTAAAGCTATGAATTAATAGCATACAGCCGTTCTGTCTGGAGAAAAGAAAAAAGAGAAAGACTTTAAACTATTTTAAAATTTATATGAATACTCAAAAGGTCCCCGCAGAAACCTTAAGCAACCAATGTAGGTCCTTTATTCAAGGTTTACTTTAAAATTAATTTTCTCCTTCCCTGTTCCCCTGTAGTTAAATGATAAAGTTCGCACAATTTGTGTCATATTATCCCTGAATTCTAAGAGACCTACAGGCCATCTTGTCATCTTATCCAACTCCTTACAAATACCAGAATTATCTTTAAAGTACCCCTGACTATCGCACCAACCTTAGAGGCTATGAGGTATTCATTCAGGCATGGTCTGTGTCTCTGAGGGGCAGATGGGTGGGAGGGGGAAGGACAGGAGGAAGCCAGAGGTGAATAGAGTTGGAAGTAGTCCAATAATTACCTCTTGACCTGACCCCAGGAGTTACCATGGGCCTGCAGGAAGATCCTCGGTCAGTCTCCACTTGAACATCCCCAGAGCAGGCTGGTCTTTGCCAGGAGCCATTCTATTTTGTTATGGATGCAGCTCTTATTGTTGGGGATGCTTTCTCACGTTATGCCAAAATCTGCCTCCTCTTGTTTTCTACACTTTGTTCCTCATGGTATCTCTAAACAACACTGTTTGACTCAACTTCTCCTCTGAATACTCCCTCAGATATCTGAAGTCAACTGGCACAACCCCCCTGTAACTGCTTCTCCAAACTAAATATCCCTTAATTTCTTTAAGATGATAAGGCAAATATACAAATGTAGTAACATAATAAGAAACAGACCATATAATTATCCTAAGAGAAAGGCAAAAGGTGGCCTGGAAATTTGAATAAAAAAGCGAGTTAAATTCCTTGCTGAAATTGAGAAGCACTGTGTCTGTCTAGAGTTTCTATACTGTGCCCATCAAGTCATCTGTCAGAAAAGAAATGTAACATGATAAGACTTCTGAGTGACACTGTGCCAGCTCCTAGTGATCACCCATCAAGTCCCACCAAATTGCATAGTTTTTGCTTTTGTTTATTTACTACCAATGCCTACTTTGAAAAAAAAGCTTTTGGAAGAAAACTTATCTGCATATGAACGGTTGTGACATGATTTGAGAATTTTAATACCGTCTATTAAGATTGCAGCCCTGGTTGCGCAGTGGTTAAGAGCTACGGCTGCTAACCAAAAGGTTGGTAGTTCGTATACACCAACCACTCCTTGGAAGCTCTACGGGGCAGTTCTACTCTGACCTATAGGGTCGTTATGAGTCAGAATCGACTCAATGGCAGTGGGTTTGGTTTGGTGTTTGGTATTAAAATTAAGAGAGAGGGCAATGTAAGGAAACTAAATCTTCAATTCTTTTTCCCCTAAAAATTTTTTATGAAAATTTCATGCATACAGAAAAGTTGAGATAATTGCATAGTAAACATCATACACTCAACAACTTGATTCTGCAATTAACGTTTTGCTATCTCTGATTTATCATATCTATCTGTTCATTTCTCTATCCACCCTTCTATCCATCTTATATCTTATGGGTTACAGAGTAAATTGCACTCATCCATACACTTAAACACTAACACTTCAGCATGCATGCCATTATCAGTTTTGGGTTTTTTTTAATACTTTTAATTAACGCTCTTCCAAATCGCTCTTGCCAGACTCTCCTTCATTCCTTCTACTTTCTCAATTTTCATTTCTGTGACCTTCCTTCTACTTGTTATCCCCAAACTTCTAAGTGGTAAAAGGCATGTGTGAAAGTCTGAGCATGGAGCAGTCTTGAAGTAGCATCAGGAAACGTCAGTGATGACCACATAGGACCTCACAGGTCCTATCACTGTCTGTCTGGGACGGACCATCTCCTTGTGAACGAGCTGAAGCTAACCAACTCACAGATAAGAGACAATTTAATAATTTACTTTGAGAAATGCCGTCATTAAGTACCAGACATGTGCATTTCTTGATCAGCTCAGTCTCTCCCTGAACAACTACATGTTGAATCTACCCATTGTCATCGAGTGGATTCCAACTCATGTCAATCCCATGTGCTTCAGAGTAAAACTGCTCTCCTTCTTGGCTGTAATCTTACAGAAGCAGATTGCCAGGACTTTCTTCCATGGCACTGCTGGAAGAATTCGAACCACCAGCCTTTTAGTTAGTAACTGAGAGCAAACCGTTCGCACCACCCATAGACGAGTTGAATCTACGTGACAGGTCAAATTGTGAAGGTTTTTGGTGAATGTGGACTCAAAGGAAGGGAGTTAACAACAAAGGCCTTCATGGCATGGAGGCAGAGACCTTATTGGCCTTGATGTGTGTGAATGAAGGAGGGAATATTACCACTCTAGTAGAAGTGCCCTGGTGGCACAATGGTTAAGCACTTGGCTACTAACTAAAAGTTGGGGTTTTAAACTCAGCAGCTGCTCCTTGGGAGAAAAGACCTGGTGATCTGCTCCCATAAAGATTACAGCCTAGGAAACCCTATGGGGAAGTTCTGTTCTGTCCTACAAAGTCACTATGATTCAGAATTGACTCAGTGGTACACAGCAACAGGTAGAAGTGCCAAGTCCCAAGGTGACGCAGACAGTTAACATGTTCAGCTGCTGACCATAAAGTTGGAGGTTTGAGTCCACCCAGAGGCGCCTCAGAAGAAAGTCCTGGCAATCTACTTCCGAAAAACTAACCATTGAAAATGCTATGAAGGATAATTCTACTCTGGCACAGATGAGGTTGCCATAAGTCAGATCGACTTGACAGCAACTAGTTAGTAGACATGTCACACAGACCAGACACTTATGTTGTTGGTTCTGGACATCTCTCACCTGAATTGTGCTGGGTGAAGCCTGCCAAATTCTACCCTTCCCACGCCCATTAAAGAAGTTCCATGACCACCATTCTCTTCTGAATAACACATTCTCTTTTAGACATGTTCACGCCATTAATTAAGCTTTAAAGGAGTCCCGATTTTCCTGTTTCCGGTCTAGAAGACAACCTGTCTTTAAAATGGAAAGCCTATGTACCGTATTTTTTTCACAAATAACGTGCTGACACATACCGTGTGTGGCATAGTGCTCCTACAAAAATAGCGCAGGAGGGGTGCGTGGTTGGCAAAAAAAGGATAATGTGCACTCTATTTGCATGAAAATACCGTACATCTAATCCCATCTTTGATAAGATGCTTTTACTGACTTTACTCTCAAAATATGGGGGTGATTGCTTTCTGCCCCAATGTACTCCCTTCTGGATCCCAGGAAGAATATGCTCTTCCCCGGTGAGCACAAACCATTCCTTTCCCTATCTCAAGATTTATGTCTGATAATAAATGTTAGTTGTTTACTTTCCGAGCTTCCTAATGACCAGCCTATAAAGATTCGGCAAGGTGAGCTCTTCAGTGAAAAGGCAGCTACACCAAAGCAACACAAAAATGCAAATACAGCACTTTTCACAATAGACAGCTTCACCAGAGTTGCAGATAAATCCCATTTTGACAAATCCAATCCTCTTTGAAATTCATAAAAGGAGCTTTCTATTCAGAAAGTCTCCGAGTGAATACTTCGGTTATGTAACAACTTCCTCCTGTAGTTCTTTCAAAGGTTTAGAAGAATCTCATAAATCAAATTGTTTTATAGCAAATCATTCTTGTCCTCTATTGCTCGAAAACTATTCTTACCCTTGACCACTTTCCCTATATAGATACTGTAGTAAACTTCTTCAGATTATCAGTATTTTGTGGTAATATCTAAAACTTTAGTTTATTTGAATACAAACCATTATGGCGTCAGGGGAAAAAAATGACTCAGAATCAAGGCTCTGACTATTTAATGTGAGTCTACTTAGAGATCGGGAGTCCCTGGGTGGCACCAGCACTTAAGTGCTCTACTACTCGCCAAAAGGTTGGTGGTTCGAACCCACCCAGTGGTACCTCGGAAGACAGGTCTGGCAATCTGCTTCCAAAAGGTCACAGCCTTGAAAACCCTGTGGAGCAGTTCTACTCTGCACATATGGGGTCGCTATGAGTTGGAATCGACTCGCTGGCAAGAACAACACCACCACTTACAAACTGGAAAAGAAAACATTCAGATACCTTTAGGCACTAGCAGCTCTGTGGTGAAAAGCCAACTGGTACCTAGAGTTCTTCTCTAATTGCCTCTGTTATAAGCAGGCCTAATCCACAGGGTTCAGATCCAGATAAAAATCCTTTGAGAGGGTAAGAGATACCATGATGTCCAGTGGGCTTTCATTGTTGGGGACTGAAATGCACCGACCTCAGGAGCACATTTGCTCCGATTCACAGACCTCAGACAGGACTCAACCCAGATAAACAGGGAGCATTTCATCCAAGTTGGGCTTCAAAGGCCATGTTTGTTCAGACACCATTAGTCCCTTTTATTCCTTTGAAGTGTCTGTCTCTAGTGATGGAAACTCTTATTTTTTTAAGAAACTAAAGCACAAAAGGAAAGTGAAAAAGCTACAAACTGATTTGGCAACAGCTAAGCAAGAGGCTGCCATCACAGTCCTGGAGCTCAATGAGAAGATAAAGGCTCTATGTGAAGGAAAGCCAGCCCCTAGAGGTCAGTATTACCATGTGACGGTTACACACTGGCCTATTACCCTGGGTGATGTATACAGTGTTCTTGGCAACAAAACAAAAAGTGAGGCCCCAATGCCAACCGCATCCCGGCCCAGCAGCCTGCTGGCCTGGCCTGACCTCCATTTAGCGTGAATGCAGACAGCACACGAACTGCTAACTCCAGGCTGGATTCTTTTCCACCTTAAGAGACTAGGAGTGAATAAACTTTTTGCTAAGGGAAAGTCTCTGAAGCTGAAACACGGGAGACAAACAGATCTGGTAAGTGTTGTCGCACAAACCTGGTGGCAGTGAGAGCAACGGAGGGAAGGGCAGTGCCTAAGAAGGAAGGCCCGAGGCCCTGGGGGGTCAGCTCTCCGCTCTCCAGTGGGGCCAGGAGCTTGTCTAAAAGTGCAGACAGGCACAAGGAAGGGAAGACAATAGTGTTTTAAACAATAGCCGAATGAGCCGGAAACAAGCAGGAAAGGTTGGTTGGGGACGAAATCTGGGTGATTCACAAGAATTTTAATAGCCACTTTGGTTTTGATTTTAAAACTAAGAAACTATAAACACACATTGTGGGAAATAAAATAAAACAACGTCAGGTTGTCGCCATTAACGATAATACAAGTTAACGTTTAATACTATGTGCCAGGCATTTTGCTAAACACTTCACAGAATAATCTCAGAGGTAAGTACATTTATGAATTCACAAAAACAAGCAGAGGGCTTACAGATGTTAGGAAACCCTGGTGGCGCAGTGGTTAAGAGCTACAGCTGCTAACTAAAAGGTCAGCAGTTTGAATCAACCAGGTGCTCCTTGGAAACTCTATGGAGCAGCTCTACTCTGTCCTATATGGTCACTATGAGTCAGAATCCACGAGATGGCAACCAACCGGTTTGGTGTTTTTTTTAGAGATGTGAATTACCTTGCCCCAGGTTAAACAAATACAAGCAACAGCTGGGCAGTTCAGACTTCAGAGCAGCAACTTAACCCTACACCACCTTACACAGTAAGGATTGGGTTCTTTTGCGTTTGTCTCTGCTTGAGGGCACACAAGAACAATACAGCAACAGGAGTCTCTGGGTGGCACAGTTTGCGCTGAAATGTTGGTGGTTCGAACCCACCCAGCACCACCATGGAAGAATGGCTTGGTGATCTGCTTACATAAAGATTATATCCAAGAAAGCTCTATGGAGCAGTTCTACCCTGTAACACATGGGGTCACCATGAGTCAGAATTGACTTGATGGCAACGGTTTTGATTTTTGGTTTTTTATGTAGCCTCAATATCAAAGTTTATTTTTGCCCGGTGGATCTCTTGCAAAACTGTGGCTCCCTGGGATAAATGTCTTCCTTTGATGTGTGCCATTCTTGTAAAGCCAGGAACATGCCATTGTTCTTACTCGAGCTTCCTTTATTACTCATAAGTAACTTTGGAAAAAGAGGAGCAATGTGGAAACAAATGGAGGAGGAGGAAGTAGGTGATGCAGTGGCTGCAAAAAGGGGGACACTCCCAGCATCCTGACTGCATGGTAGAGCTTTGAATATGAGTTTTGGTTTTAATTTTCGATTTTGAATCACATTTTCCCCAGGTTCAAATGGAGAACCATTTGAACACTGCTGAGGGTCAATTTTTTTCTCTTTCAACAAAACACCATAAAACAGTTTACCAACTTCCTTTTACCACCAAGAAGCCTAAATGAATAAAAACCATTAGAGAATATTATGCACTTTGTGGTTTCTATTTTAAAGCACCATAACCAGATTTTTTAATTGGTTGCATAATAAAAAGCTATGACTGTAGAGCACGTTGGAGAAAAATCTTCAGCTCACTAGAGAGAAGCTTTCAGACAATCAACCGTATTTTCTATCTAGTGCAAAAAGATATTATTGCAAGATATCTAATTCTTACTTTCATTTTGACAAAAAATAGTATTATGTACTGTCTAATGACAATTTTGTCCTATTGATGTGTTGACAGGTTAAAATTAAAATAATCTCAAGTTTCTAGGACTCTAATAGTTGGGGGCAGGTGGGAAGAAAACATTAAATCCTATCTTTTCTTCTTTGCCCATCTTTTCTCTAAGTTTCTGTTTAAAAAAAAACTACGGTATAGAAAAAAATCCCCCCTCATGTATTTATGAACTCATATAAGTTTCAGTCAAGCCAGTCATTTTAAGGTCAAGTATGGGTCAAAAGAGTGATTCCCTCTGGACTGCACGTTGCTTCTTTTATTTGGTGAGGAAGCTGAGTCAGTGGACTGACCCCTAGCACTAAGGTCTTTAATCAAATACATGTGTATTCTTACTCTTCCTTCTGGTCCCAGGCAGCCTCACTCTGAATTCAATAGCTCAGGGGATGGCAAGGCCGTTGTGGCCCAGAGTGATGTTAGTTCTCATTCTCAGAAACCTTGGCCACCTTGCCCTACCTCTCATTCACTTCAAAATATAACCTAAAAAGATGCTAGTGACTTTAACACACGATGACTACCGTTTAACTCCAATTATGGCTGACCCACCCCTCCCAGACACACACAGACACACATTCCTGAACCTAGAACTCCATCCCTCCTTTAGTCATCCTGTGTCCTTTTATAAAATGTTTGTTTTCTGTTCTCAGACCTCTGCTGGTTGCAGATGACAGATGCCCCAGTCATAACAGCTTAAGGAAGAAGGGAGATTTATTTGCATGTGTAAACAGACTAAGAACACATATGCCATTAGCCTTAGAGTCCGATGGAGTCAGCATCTCTGAAACCATAAGGACACATCTGTCACTCATCTCTGCCTCTCTTTGCACTGAGGCTTCATTCTCTCAAGATGAGTATTCCAAGAGACTGGAAACATGGCCATAAACAGCTATGGGCTGGCCTCCTAATCATCTCTCCTCTGAAGAGGAAAGAAAGCATTTTCCCACCATCTCCAGTTAGAAAAAGTACAAGAACGAACTCTATCTGACTTAGGTTGGCTACCCATCCCTGGACATGGACAAATCCTTGTGGTTAGGGTTGGAGAATATGGTTGGCCAAGCTTGGGTCATGCTTGTGGGGAATAAGGGTAAAGAAGTAGAGTGTTCTGACTGGCAGATCCCACCAGAAGCCCAGGGCTGCACTGAGAGAAAGGACTTCTTTCAAGGAAAGACTATCCTCCTAATGGAAAGGAAGGGAAGTGATGGACAAAACCAGTACATGTCCAATACACTCTCAGCTAGTGATCAAGTTGAAAAATAATGTAATGCTTAAAGAGTCGCCCATCCCACAGGTGTTTGCACTTTAAAAGTGATTGTTCTTTTTTTTTTTTTTAATTGTACGTAGATGAAGGTTTACAGAACACACCAGCTTCTCATTAAACAGTTAGGACACATATGTTTTGTGACATCAGTTAACAACGCCATGACATGTCAACATTCTCCCTTCTCTACCTTGGGTTCCCTATTACCAGCTTTCTTGTCCTCTCCTGCGTTCCAGTCCCTGCCCTCGGGCTGGTGTATCCCTCAAGTCTCATTTGTTTTATGGGCCTGTCTAATCCTTGGCTGAAGAGTGAATCTCAGGAGTGACTTCACTGCTGAGCAAAAAGCGTGTCCTGGGCCATACTCTCAGGGTTTCTCCAGTCTCCTTCAGTCCAGTAAGTTGGGTCTTTTTTTGTGAGTTAAAATTTTGTTCTACAATTTTCTCCAGCTCTGTCCAGGACCCTCTATTGTGATCTCTGTCAGAGCAGTCAGTGGTGGTAGCGGGGCACCACCTACTTGTACTGTACTCAGTCTGGTGGAGGCCGTGATAGTTGTGGTCCATTAGTCCTTTGGACTAATCTTTCCCTTGTGTCTTTGGTTTTCTTCATTCTCCCGTGCTTGCAAAGGGGTGAGATCAGTGGAGTATCTTAGATGGGCGCTCATAGGCTTTTAAGACCCCAGATGCTACTCACCAAAGTAGAATGTAGAACCTTTTCTTTATAAACTATGTTATGCCGATTGAGCGAGATGTTCCCCGAGACCGTGGTCCCCACAGCCCCTAGCCCAGTAATTCGATCCCTCAGGGAGTTTGGATATGTCTATGGAGCTTTCATGACCCTGCCTTATACAAGTTGTGCTGGCTTCCCCAGTAAAAGCAGATTCGTCTTGATGGATAAAAGATCTTCATGACCCAAGAAATAAGTCTTTACTGGTATAATTTCAGACCCCATAAAAGATGGAGAATGAACCACTTTGAGGAAGGAACCCCCTGCCAGCATCTACCAGGTTATAGCATGGTCACCTACTCTGAAAATTGGCCTTATTGTAAAAATTCAAACTGCAGGGGGAAGGGATTGATTCTAAGTGACATGTGACTTGGAGTAACATAAAGCTACTTCTCTATTATAGTTAAAAACGAATGCCTGCATGTCTAACAAGCGGATTAAGAAAATAGTTCCAAATAAATCAGAACTTTTTTTTAACCCACATATGCAATTTTTTTTCCTTACTTGCTTCATCATTTTCGAAGTAAGTCTATATATGAGGTTACCATTCAGCAATTCTAATCAGAGGGATGTTCCAGAATGTTAGGAATGCTTTTAAGCATATTTAAATTGATGAAACATTGAGCTACCAAAGTTTGGGTTTGCGGAGCTTTTCTGTGTGTGCATGTGTTTTCTTTTACACAAATACAATAAACTATTTCATTGGCCATGTACTTAAATTACCTCCAAGGAAATAAATGATTTAAGTTGATGGAAAGTTCAGCTGAAAAGAAAAACACATTTATTATAAAACTGGCAAAACAGGAAACTTACTTACTACCTGAGTGTTGTTTGCTGATTTTACTTTGTACAAATCATCACAGCCCAAGGCAGATTCCTTCTGTCATTTCCACAGCCTGCAACTTACAGCTTTATTTACTATTTCAGGATCAGCGAAATACCTATTGTACCCCTCCATAGCTTAAATCCACCTTTTGGTAAACCTCAGTGTGCAAGAACTTAAGGTTAGGTTTCAAAAGGACCTTTGCTTCCTTTGGCTTAGGGGGAC